CGCCCGCCCGCCTGCCCGTGTTACATTGTGCCCTGTAGAATTTGAAATCACGGCCTCTCGCCTGTAAGGGCAACCATCTACTCTACTGCGCTACATCGACAACTAAAGAAAGGTAAAACATACTCATTAGATTGGTTTCTACAGAAACGTTGGGTTGTCAAAACAGCAGGCTCAAGTAAAGAGAGTCACTCGAAAGTCGCACGAGTCAACGGCTGGTTCCAGCTTATCCTTCAAATAAGTCGTTGCTGAGCGCACAACAACAAAGCAAAAAATATTAACGAGGAATAAATGTACTATTACTAGCCGGACTAATGCACTAATATCAATTATATAAGACCCATCGAATCTTCGAATCTATGGAGCAAATTTTCAGAAACGTCATCTTATCTGCGCGCTTAAAATCACGAATTTAACTTTTAAAAGGGTCGATTAGAAATTCCAGACGCCAAATTTACACTGTCCTTCTTGCAGATAAAGTGAAATAAGAGGCAGACAACTAAAAGGCTAAAGCTAACTTTCGTGTAAAAGATCATGTTAAGGGTTTTGCTCCTGTGGAAATAGATAGAAAAATAAAGGGAGAGAAATATCTGAGCAACCGTGTAGACATGGAAATGATTATCTATTTATGACATATGGAGGGTCCTGAAGGGATAAGATCATCATCGGATACCCTGTTTAGTAAGTCAGGTGGAAAGGAATTTTCGTAAGTGTCTGGCAAACCTTCGCTTACTAGCTGCCCCTGGGCCTCTGAGAATGGCGTAAAATGCGAAATAAGATTCGCATTTTACGCCAATTGGAATTGAATCATTAAATTTTGTTGCAGCTAGGAATGGGATCTTGAGGGAGATTCGGGCCTTAAGCTAGGATTTGGGCTGGGGGAAATGGGATTTGTATAGTCTCCAACCCCCCCCCCCCCCCTCCTTAATAGAGCAGCCAAAAATGGAATGAAATGTGAACTATCGCCCATAGGAGAGGCTAGCCAGACTTGTGGGTTCACCTTTGTCATCGTCAGCACCAGGCTTGTCTTGTTTCTAAATTTTTCTGCCATTTAACGCCACAGCAAAGCACTGCTGATGGTGACATCGATCCAAAACATAAAACTTAGGATATGTGCCTGCAAAAGTGTGAATTTCGCCACTGCACCGATTTGTATTCAACTTGACGAATGGATTTTCATGTCTTTATATACTGAGGTTTTCCTCAATAAAATTATTAGTGGCAGGCACAAATTTCAAATAAACAAACACACAAACAATCAAAAAAGGGCATATTTGTCTCAAATACGCAATGCCATAATGCGTGCGCTAAAGATAACTACAGAAGCACATTAGTCAGCCATTAGATGATGAATGTAATATAAGACAAGTCAAGACTTATCTTTAAAAAATGGTTATTGTGTTTTTTACGGATACTTCCTTATATTGAGAAACTGTTTTTGAAGCATTGCATAAGGCTCCTTTCCCAAGTTTCGTGACGACTCCAAGAGACTGTTTTGACTGGCTAAAAGTCACAAGGCACTAAGCCACTTAAATGTCTTGGACCTCGGTGAAAAAAATAAAAAATAAAAAATAAATGAATGAATGAATAAATGTACAAACAAATATGTCATATTTGAATATAAAATGCTCTGGGCTAAACGAATATATTTATCTCTGTATTTATATTGTATTATTATTATATTTCTTATTTTATTTGTAACATAAGATATGTATCATTTATCTTATGAGTAATATAGACATAAGAAGAAAATAATTAAGAACCTGTTAATTAGAAGATTTCATGAGAAGGAACTGGTTACTAGTGCTCTCATTCGCCTTATTCTCCATCGCTCATCGCTCAAGAAGTGAGCGATTTACAATAGACACTTTTTTGCTTTTTTTGCCTTGCGTGTTTTGAAAAGACATGAAATCACTACATTACGCCTTGACCTTTCGAAATCCTAAGAAAGAAAAACAAATTACCTCATATCATCAGGACGCGTGCTGACAAGACTTCCTAGACACTATTTCAGGAAACATGCATATGCCATTCCGGGCTTGTGACGTACTACCATGTCAATCCTGAGAGTTCGGTGTCGCCACAAGGAAGTATTTTTCCTAGAGCGCGGTTGCTTCATTTCTCAGTTGCTCCGAACAATGTAACGGCAGTTGCAACAATGTTTGCTTGGAGGCTAAGAGGCATTATTCTCGTTGTCCTTGCGACAAGCCTGTTTGTATCAGGTCATAAAGTACGTCGAGAGAACGGCTGCAAGAAAGCCTTGAGAAAAGCTGCGAGTCCTGAGAAAAGCGATCTGCATAAATCAAAGGTAAACTTCGAGGTCTGCTTTGAAGTTGAAGGCGTGACATACTACTGCCCAGGAGATGACAGATGCTGCTCACCAGGGAATCCGGAGAGTAAGTGTTGCCCTGCAGATCATCCACTATGCTTACCTGAAGAAGACCCAGAATTTTGCTGCCCTGAGGGATATCCAAAACTGTGTGGAGAGTATTGTTGCACGGCTAGTAGCTTTTGCTGTAATGAAGAAAACTGCTGTTTGGATGAACGCGAGTGTTGCGGGGAGCAGTGCTGCGAGGCTGAAGAGAAATGTTGTGGAGGAAATTGTTGTGAGGCGGGTTTATTTTGTTGCAACGAAGAAAGCTGTTGCCAGGACGAAGCTGCTTGTTGTGGGAAGAATTGTTGCACCGGTGAAAATTCTTGCTGCAAGGAGAATGCCACTGAAACGTGCTGCAACAAAAATACCA